ATCATTGTGGGAAACTTCTACTACCAGTCCTTCATCACCTTACACGAAATAGGGTGAATACATCTCATTTTACTGATTTACTGGTAGTCTCGAAACCATACTCACATACGAATACACGAAGTTCGCCTTAATAAATTACTGATCGTTTTTAGCCTACTCAAATCATTATTAAGTAGCGTTGTTTAATTTAATGAAAAATATTGGCTGTGTTCAATATAAATGTGATTTGGCTGAGGCTTGGCTTGCTCCATTGGTTCTGTGGCTGTGTGGCGACGTGGAAAGGTATACTTCCACTTGCCGCTCAAAATCCGGTTTCGAACCCAATCGGGTATATTAATGTGACGAGAATGAGAGCAAAGCTGCACTTCAGGTGGAAATTCGGTGCTCAATGAAATGCGACGAAAGTTCATTTCAATGTGGGATAAGCCCTTTAAAAGATCTTAGGCGGCCTAAGTTGTCTATGTTCTTATTTAGGATAGGTTAATGGGATACGAAGCACAGCATATTACCAGTCAGCGGTCAGATTTTGCGAGAAGGCACGACGATACCTTCTTCGAAGTCTTCTTGAGCACCCGAGTAAGTTGGTAAAATTTTTATACTAACCCTATTTGGTATGATTACTTACTACCTTGTAAATCTTCCGAATTTTTTCTTATCTTGTCTTTGGGTTATCGAGAAATGCTAGGGCAATGCTTCGTTTTAAAAAAATCATTTTTGAACAAACGATATTATGCGCCCTATAAAAGATTGGTACTGACAATAAAAGATTTGGTCTTTATAGAGTTTTTTACTCACTTGGATCTGCATGAAACATAGGCTGACTGATGAGGCTTACAGGGCCTCGACCGACGATAACGGGGATTGTAAGTCAGCTTTTATGATGCAAGATTATGGTTCCTCCCACCGGCAGGTTGAGATCTTCCACCAAAGACCCTTTTCTACCGTCTGCCCCAGCCAGGGACACGCTTGGAAGTCCTCACCTCGGACAGCTCCTCAGACCGACTGCGTTGCAGAGGCACCATCAGCTGTCCCAGCATGGCTGTCTCCTGTGCGCATGTGTGCCAGTGGGTAAATGTTTAAGGACATAGAGGCTAAAATCGGCTTTTATTTATATACAGCTTAAAAGAGATAGTGTCGTGATTACTTCTCATACATGTTGGAATAAACGAAAATTCGATTGTTGCTGAAGCCAGTTCAGTCGGATTTGCACAAGATGATCCCGAAGATGATGTTTGAGGCTAGCTGTACTGTTAAACATGAACAGATATTTGAGTTTGATAACCTAACTTTGTTTAATAGGCTACCTCCAACAAGCTTGTTAAATTTTGTGCTGCATTGTTGCATATTGGCGATATATCTGAATGCTACAGAAGAGCCATACTCAACTATGAAACTTAAATTCTTTGCTTTGAATCCCTCATACTTCGTGGGCTAAATTCAGTTGACCAGACACCAAACTATGAATGGAAGGCTCTCATCTCACTTCTTGCAAATTGTAAGCCGATCCATGACTTGAAGAAAGGTTGATTTGCAAAAGGTTTTGCCTTGCAATTGTTGAGCTCACTTTAATTTCTAGCGAAAGTAAGTGATGAAGGAGTTCAAGGGTCCAACTCACCCGAAGACTATGGTAGATTTCCCTTGATCAGCTGTTGCTTGACTTTACTGGAATATTCCGAGGTAATCCTCTTTTACTCGAGTGAAAAAGTGCTAAGCTATCGTCTGTTCTATGACGGATGTCATCATTCTTAGCAAAGTTTAAAGGTAACATTTTGAGAAAACTCGTTGGTATGAATTAGTTCCAAGAATGGTACCTAGCTCTAATAGAAAGAACATGTCAAACAGCACGATGGCGAGCCAAGAGGAATCCGTTTTCACCTCAACCAAATAAGTTTCATAAAGTATTTACCTTCGCATTTCCAGCAATTAGTCAGCCCATTCGAGGCTGTGGTGTCCTTCCCTCTTGCCACCTCATACCAAAACTATCATCCTCTCTTTGAGATTTTCCCAAGTGAGATGCTGCCAAAAGCTTATAAATGCAATAACGGCAATAAAGCATAGCCATGAGATTTGAGAACAGCCCAGTAGGCATTACTTTATTATGAGAATAGTAATTGAGTTCGGATAAATTTCCTGAGCAAACCCTTCTT